GCCACATGGCAGCGGACTCAGATCCGGATTCTGCAGTCCCACCAATCCGAGTCCCACCATCCGCTGCCCTCTGTCCTCGCAACCGCAGTCTGGCGGCGTCGTCGCCGCGTATGAGAGCGGTGCGGTCTCGATCATCGGCTCGACCGTGACGAGCTGCTCGGCTGAAGATGTGCGCCGCATAGACAGAGCTAGGCTCTCCATGCAGTGGGTAGAGAGATGAAGAGGGCCACGGGTGCCTCACCCCGCTCTCTCCTCGCAACCGCAGTACGGCGGCGTCGTCTTCGCGTCTGAAAGCGGTGCGGTCTCGATTACCGGCTCGACCGTGACGAGCTGTTTGGCTGACGAGGTGCGCCGCAAAGATAGAGCTAGCACCGGCCACCGCACGGCAGCGAGGCGAGCGATGGAGAGGGACACTGTTGCCTGACCTCCCGCGCTCTCCTCGCTACATCAGGATGGTGGCGTTGTCTTCATTTACCCCCACGGCGGCGCGGTCTCGATAATCAACTCGACCCTGGTGGGGTGCTCGGCTCATGTGCGCCGCCTCCTCGCCTTGCAGCCGGGGGCGAGAGATAAGGAGGGACACGGCTGCCCCACCCCGCTCTCTCCTCGCAACCGCAGGGCGGCGGCGGCGTCGTCAACGCGGATGGCAGCGGTGCGATCTCGATAATAAGCTCCACCGTGACGGGCTGCTCGGCTGGCGATGTGCGCTGCGTAGTACCTGGTAGAGCTAGCAGCCGGCCGCACGGCAGCGGGGCGGGAGATGTTTGACCCCGCTCTCTCCTCGCAACCGCAGTCCGGCGGCGTCGTCTACGCGGAGGACAGCGGTGCAGTCTCGATAACCAGCTCGACCGTGTCGGGCTGCTCGGCTGACAATGTGCGCCGCGTAGCCTCCTGCAGCGCCGCACGGCAGCGGGGCGAGAGGTAGAGAGGGCCACGGCTGCCTCACCCCACTCTCTCCTCGCAACCGCAGATCGGCGGCGTCGTCTACGTGGGGAACAGCGGTGCGGTCTCGCTTACCGGCTCGACCGTGACGAACTGCTCGGCTCGAGAAGCTGTGCGTCGCGTAGAGCTAGCCGCCTCCAGCAGCGCCGCACGGCAGCGGGAAGAGAGGGCCACGGCTGCCTCACGCCCCGCTCTCTCCTCGCAACCGCAGGATGGCGGCGTCGTCCATGCGGAGCGCAGCGGTGCGGTCTCGATAATCGACTCCACCGTGAGGAATTGCTCGGCTTTCGTGGTGCGCCGCGTAGAATCCCTCCCTGCAGAGCGCCTCACGGCAGCGGGGCGAGAGATGGAGAGGGCCACGGCTGCCTCACCCCGCTCTCTCCTCGCAAACCGCAGCTCGGCGGCGTCGTCTACGCGCTTAAAAGCGAGTCCCTCTCCGTCGCGGGTGTCGACTTCATCAACAACAGTGCGGACGTCTCAGGCTCGGTGCTGTTTCTGCAAGACCTCGAACAACGTTCCTCGATCAGCGTCGCCTCCTTCACCGGCAACGACGGTACCACGATACAGACCGTCAACTCGCCGATAGACTGGGACTGCCGCTTGGGCCGCTGGATGCCGACTGAGGGCTCCCTTTTCGGCGACTTCAGCGCCCCCGAGTGCAACCGTTGCTCTGCTGGCTACTACGGGAACAGGAGCGGCCTCACCAACACCTCCTGCAGCGGCCAGTGCACCAGGGGCCACTTTTGCGAGGAGGGGACCGCCGACCCCGAGCCCTGCCCGGTCGGCACTCGCATGCCCGCCCTCGGCGCGGCGAGCAGCGAGAGCTGCATCCCGTGCGCTCCGGGCCAGCATCAGCCCCTCACAGGCCAATCGGACTGCCTCACCTGCCCCGCGGGCAGCTTCTCTCCCGACCTCGGCCTCCCCGCCTGCGACCCTTGCCCGCACGGCGGCTACTGCGAAGAGGCGGGCGCCGCCACCCGCATGGTCTGGGAGCCCTGCCCCGCCGGCAGCTTCAACCCGGCCAACGGCTCCAACTCGAGCGCCGCGTGCGAGCTCTGCCCCGCCGGGACCGCGAGCGCAACGCGGGGCGCGGAAAGCAGCGATGCGTGCGCGCCGTGCCGGCCAGGCACCGTCGCGGTAGCAGCTGGCCTCTCCCAGTGCGAGCTCTGTAAGCCCGGCACCACCTCTGGCGCCGGCAGCGACTCCTGCATCGAGTGTGCTGCAGGCGCATACGCCGCAAACCCTGGCCAGGGTGAATGCATCCCGTGTCCTCACCCCCTCAGCTCGGTCAATGGCAGCACCACCTGCTCATTTTGCATGGACGACTACTACCTGCGGAACACCTCGGCCATCATCTTCACCTCCCCAACCGAGTACTGCAAGCCGTGCCCGCCGAACGCTGCCTGCCCGGACAACACTACCCTTTCATCCCTCGTCCTCCCGCGCGGCTTTTGGCGCGCCAGCCCCTCCTCCGCCGTGCTGACAGAGTGCCGCCTCTTTGGCGGCAATGCCGAGGCTGGCAAGACGCGGTGCGCCGGCAGCGAGCCGGTGGCGAGAAAGGCTTCTCGCCGCCGGAGGATGGTGGAGGCGGGCTCGGACGCGTACTGCGCTTCGGACTTCAAAGGGCCCGAGTGCCGGCTCTGCGCTGCGCCAGACCACCACCTCGTCGACGGTGACACCTGCGAAGTATGCGCTCCGCGCGCCGCCGCTGTGGGCCGCATCGTAGGCCTCGTCCTCGGCCTCTGCGTCGCGTGCGGCTTGGCGGCGTGGGCCTACCACATGCCGTGGCGGAAGGAGCGCATCATCGGCCCTATCCTCCGCTTTGCAGACCGCTCCGTCAAGTACTACGTCGGGGTCGGAATGACGGCCAAGGTCAAGATCCTGTTTGGCTTCTACCAGATCTGCACCGTCTTGTCCTCCACCTACTCCGCGCGGCTGCCAGACAAGTACACGGGCTGGACGGACAACTTGGCCAACGTGATCTCCATCGACTGGTCTGGCTTTTTCCTGCCGGAGCAGTGCCTCGGCTACGCTCTGCGGCTCCTCGCCGTCGCTATCTCCCCCGTCGCCCTCATCGCCCTGCTAATGGTTGCGGGAATAAGCCTGCGGCTCCACTGCTGGCGAACCGCGCCGCCACCGCGCCCAAAGCTGTGGGCGGAGGCGGCCCTCGGCCTCCTCGACCTCACGCCCGCTGGCTTGGTGCTCATTTTCTGCTTCGTGCCCACCATCAGCGCCTCCATCTTCCGCTCCTGGTCGTGCCAGGCGCCGCCCCTCACAGCTGACTGCCGTTGCTCACAACCCCACCCCCCTCAGTCCTCGCAACGTTCTGCTGATAGGCCTACACCATCTCTCCGCCAAACGAGCCCCTGCAGCAGGTCTCCTACATGCGGCAGGACGCGAGCGTCGAGTGCGGCTCCGACGATCACGGACCCATCAAGAACCTCGCCATCGGTTTCATCGTCCTCTGGCCCGCCGGCTCGCTGGTCCTCTTCACGTCGCTCCTCGCCGCTTGCTACAAGCCGCTGCAGGCCAAGACGCCGAATGCTCTGACGCGGGCCACCGCCTTCCTCCACCGGGAGTACGAGAAGACTTGGTACTGGTGGGAGGCGGTCGAGCTGGCGCGCAAGCTCGTGCTGACCGGCTTCGTGCTGCTGGTCCCGGAGGAGCGAGCCTTTGTTCGCCTCGTGGTGGCGACGCTCATCTGCTCATGCTACGCCGTCGCGCTCGCCGTCGTGCGGCCGTACAAGCGGGTCGAGGACAACGTCATCGCCGTCGCCACCAGCCTCGTGCTCCTCCTCCTCTTCCTCGGCACCAACTGGAGCACCATCTTCCTCGGCATCCAGGAGCGGTACCAGGGAGTAGACCCCGCCGATGTCCTCGGCTTCCGCAGCCTCAATGTGATTGTCGACTCGATGATCATCCTCGTTGCAGTCGTGCTCGCCTTCTTCCTCGTCAGCGCCATCGTCGCCGCCCGTCGCGTCGCCAAGGTCCCCACGATCCGACTCGTCTCGACCAAGCAGCCCCCCGAGCTGAGCATCGGGACCGGCCTCACATGGCACCTCTTCAACAGCCACATCTGGTGAGTCATAGCCATGGAGGGAGAAGAGGAGCAGGACCCGGTATAGAGCCACAACCTCCGAATAGGTCGACCGGTCAAGACGCCGTCAAGGTCATAAAGGGCGAGCTCGAGCAGCTGCTGCCGGACATCAAAGTCTTTCTCGACGCGCGCACATGCTCAGCCGCGCTAGCTACACACACAGCCTCTGACGCACCGCGGTGTGCTCTCATAGGTAGATGATCTCAAGGATATCGGGGCGCTCGAGGAGTACATCCAGCGCTCGCAGGCCATCCTCTTCTTCCTCTCGCAGGGCTACTTCCGCTCCAAGGTTCGCCTCTTCCTCCCACCCCGCCTCTACCGCACCTTGGCCTTACCTCCCGCCTCTCCCGCGCCACAGAACTGCCTCCGAGAGGTTCGCTCGTCGCTCGAGAAGGACAAGCCGCTCGTCCTCGTCCAAGAAGCGGACCCTGAAAAGGGAGGCGGGACGCTGCAGGCGCTGCGCAACGAGTGCCCCGAGGAACTGCAGCCGGCCATCTTTGACGAGGACTGGCCGCTCACGATCTGGTATCGCATCGATGAGTTTCAGCTCGTCTCCCTCAAAATCATCGCCGAGGCGCCGCCGGCCTCAGCCAGCCGCTCCGCAGTCCTCTCCGTCTCCCAACCGCGACCCCCACTTGAACCACCCTAGGCGGTGCTCCTCTGTTCGCCCAACTTTCTGGACAAGACCTCCCTCCCGCTCTGCGTGTCGGGCGAGCCCGAGAGCCAGTCGCTCGCCTTTTCCAAACAGACCACGCTCTGGGCCTCGCCTGCCAACCCGGGGTCGCTGGAGCTGGCCACCGAGATCGCCGCCGTCTTTGCCGGTCTCACGATCTCCACCACCGATGATCGGCCGGCCAGCGCGACGCACATGCTGCTCTACCTCAACGAGGACAGCTTCGTCAGCGACGAGCGGCTGGCCGAGCAGGTCAAGCAGGCGCGCCAGGACAGGCTGAAGATCGTGATGGCGCACGAGAACGACCCCGCGCTCCGCGGCTGCCAGTTCTCGAGGTTTTTTGAAGTCACGCCGCAGGAGCGGATGTCCAACAGTGGCGCCCGTCCCGCCACCCCTCCTCCCCAACCCTCTCCCCCCCAAACGCCGCAGGAGCTCATCGCCGGCGGACTCTACAAGGACCTGGCAAAATCGTGCACCCCCGGCCGCCACCGCAGGGCGCGCGCCCCGTCTCCCCCACAGCGAGCTCCCCCCCCGCATCGAGCGTTTCGTGAAGAGGGGCGTCCCTGTCCGCAGGTGTCGCTCGTCCTTCTGGCAAAGAGCCTAGGCGCTACCCCCGCTCGGTCGCGGGCGGACCTCCTCGTTTCGGGCAGCGTCGCTGAGGGCGGCACCAGCCTCGCGAAGCGCAGCTTTGGCGGCCTCAGCCGGGTGTTCGCCAAGATGAGCAGCCGCAGCTCTGCGGAGGCGCGCGAGGTCTCTGGAGGCGAGGCGTCGTCGGTGCAGCAGGTCTGACCGGTTGCGCGATGTCGTGCGCATAACGTGCGAAGCGGCGATGACCTGCAAATACGGGACAATTAGTAGAGCCAGCTAGCTCAAACGTGGGACGTATGTGCGCGGCATTTACATTGCGTTCACGAGCAGTCCGGAAGGCGATTATCGTATGATTTGCGTCGTGCCTGTGCGCGCCAGCCAGGTGGAGAGGTGCTCCTCAGTGTTGCCAAGCGCGATGAAGTGCCCATCGGCACGGGAGGCAGCGCCTCCGCAGCGGGCAGAGCCGTTGCCCTTCGCGCCGGAGGGGTCAGGGGAGGAACGGAGTGTAGCACTTGAACTCCCAGCATGTGTGTACGGTACGTTACGACCCAACGATTTTATGAGTGGCAGCAAAGGGTGCGAAAAAAGTGAATGTGATTCCAACCTCGAGACCTCGAGAGATGATTCAGCCGGAGAAGCTGTGGCTCTCGCCGTCGTCGCCACCGCCCCTTTCTTGTGCAGCTCGAAAAGCTGTGGCTCGGTCGTCGCCTCGGCCCCTTCCCCGGCCATCGATTGATGATGCTTATCTATTCCACGTGCGTGTATGTGGCGATTCTCTTGCTCCAAAATGTGTGCGCCCAAGCTGCGACGGGGAGCTTCTCCAACGCTCCGGGCGCCGTGAGCGCGCACGGCTTATGTGCGAGCGCGCTCAACCCAAGCGGGCCGCACACAGAGCAGTGGCTCATGAGCCAGGCCGACTGCGAGTCGAATTGTCTCGCTGACCCCTCTTGCACAGCGTACGAGTGGGCGACGGTCGGCACGGACAGCTTTGGCTACAGCCGATGCGAGCTGCAATCGGGTAACGTCGACTCGATCCGCCCGTCAGTCAACCACATATGCCAGGTGAAGAGCAGTAGTAGTAAGCGACTCTTCGACACCCATAACCGACTCATAACCGAAAACAGTAGTCTAAGCGACACCCATATCCGACTCCCGCCTAGCGTCCATTCCAGGTGAAGAAGACGGGGCAGAGCGCGACCGCCGCGCCGTCGTGGTTGTCGTCGCCCATGCGCGTCATGAACAACAAGCTGCCGAGCAGCGGTGGCCTTTTGAAGCCACCGACGCCGGCGGAGAAGGCACGCAAGCTAGCGGGCTGCCCTCCGGCGCCTGTCAAGACTTGCCCGTGCTGTGCCTCTGTCGGGCCCGGCGTGGAGTTGGCCTTGGTGTGCCCGCAGAATGATCTGTACAACGCTGACCTCCGCAACGCCAATTTGGAGGGGGCCATTCTCGAGGACGTGAATCTCGCCTGCGCGGTGTTCGATGGCGCGCAGCTGAAGGGCGCCGAGTTCAAAAACGCGCGAGGCGCCGCTGTCTCGTTCCGCAACGCGAAGATGGAAAATGCGCAGGTCGGCGAGACGTCGTTCACCAGCCCCGACTTCACCGGCGCGCATATCAGAGCGGCCAGCTTCGAGTTGACCGTCTCTCCGGGCGCAATATTTGACGGCGCCAATATCGATGGCACCGATTTCAAGAGCGCGAGCCTCGACCGCGCGAGCTGGAAGGGCACGACAGGGATCATGTCGGCGTTGTTCGAGATGGCGACGGGGGCGCTGCCTCCGGGTGTGTCCACGGCAAACACCGGCTGACACCAAGACTGAGCTCCTCCCCTCTGCAGAATGTCCCTTGCCCACCCGGACGCCTACACTTGCCTGCCCGTCGCCACGCCTGACGACGGCTGAGGCGGCGGTCGCTGCCGCCAAGGCGAGGCGCGTGTCAGCGGCCGCTGAGAGGGCCAGGGCGGAGGCGGCCTAGCCGCGCGAAAAAGGACGCAGCGCAGTGGCAACCGGGACGCGGAGGGAGGGAGGGAGGGAGCGTAGTGCTACACTGGAGGGATTTTCTGGGTCTGTGGACTGTGCGGGTCGACTGACTCCTTTGTGACTGAGAGAGCTCGCGTCGGGGTGTGCGGTGATGAGAGTAATAAGTAAGGTCAGCTCGCGCGCGCTGTTCTGGCATCTGGGGAGAAGGCGCTGCTGCGGTTACACACCGGTTCGGTTGCGAAAAGAATAACGACGGCCACACGACACCCCGCGCCACGCGGACGCGCGAAACCGCTCAATGCGCCTCTTGCCACTCTCGGATCTGCCGGCGCAGCGCGTGGTTTGGGAAGGTGTGCGTGTGCTGGAGCGTCTCGCCCGTCATCGGGCTCGTCGACTTGGTCGCGAGCCAGCGCTCGATCTGCTTCCGCTCGTAGGAATGGCCGTCCGCCGCCATCACCGGGTCGCTCATCACCTCGGTCGTGATTGGGCAGATGAAGTCGGCCGGCGGCGGCTCCTCCTCCCTCGGCGGCGCCTCCGGCTCGGGCGGCTGCTCCTCCGCCACCCGCCTCTCCTCCTCCAGCCTCGCGCTCTCCTGGAGCGCCCCCGCCAGCTCCGCCTCCTCTGCTGCCGCCACCGCCTCCCCCTCCGCCTCCGCCTCCGCCTCCTCGCCTTCCGGCTCCTGCGACGGCCCGGCGCCGCTCCCCCCGCCCCTGCCCTTCTTCTTCTTCTTCTTCTTGGCCTTGCGCTCCTTGGCGCGCTGCTCCGCCTCCTTCTCCGCCTCCTCATCCGCCAGAAGCGCTTCCGCGTTCCGATCCGCCTCCGCCGCCGCCTCCGCCATCTCGGCCTCTCTTGCCGCCGCCTCCGCCGCCCTAGCCTGGGCGCGCATGCTCGCGGGCGAGAGGCGGAGGACGGTGGTCGTGGGGTCGAAGGCCTTGTCACCGATCTCGGCGGTGGTTGGCACGGTGACGGAGGGGAGGGCGGAGCAGCGCTCGAAGGCTTCGTCGCCGATTGAGACGAGGCCGGCGGGGAGGGTGACGGAGCTGAGGGCGGAGCAGCCGGAGAAGGCGCAGCCGCCGATGGAGGTGAGGGTGGCGGGGAGGTCGATGGAGACGAGCGAGGAACAGCCGAAGAAGGCTTCGTCGCCGATGGAGGTGAGGCCGGCCGGGAGGGTGACATGGGCGAGCGAGGAGCAGCCGGAGAAGGCGTCGTTGCCGATCGAGGTGAGGCCGGCGGGGAGGGTGACGGAGGCGAGGGTGGAGCAGTCGGAGAAGGCGCAGCTGGGTATGGTGGTGATGCCCTCCGGCACAGTGGCGTGCCCCTGCGCGTCGATTTGAGGCCGCACCGCCCAAAAGTTGATGGCCCGCACTGCTGCCTTCGCCTCGTCGTTGAGGGGGCAGTCGGAGAAGGCACCGTCGTCAATCGAGAGGCCATCGGGCAGCGGCAGCGTGATGGAGGCGAGGGAGTCGCAGCATTCGAAGGCGTCTTCGCCGATCGAGGCGAGGCCGGCGGGGAGAGCGGCGGAGGTGAGGGCAGAGCAGCGGTAGAAGGCCCAGTAGCCGATGGTAAGGCCGGCGGGGAGGGCGGCGGAGGTGAGGGCGGAGCAGCCCCAGAAGGCGCTGGCGCCGATGGAGGTGAGGGTGGCGGGGAAGGTGACGGAGGCGAGGGAGGAGCAGCCGAAGAAGGCTTCGTCGCCGATTGAGACGAGGGTGGTAGGGAGGGTGACGGAGACGAGGGAGGCCCACTCTCGGAAGGCGCTGCTGGCGATGGTGGTGAGGCCCTCCGGCACAGTGGCATGCCCCTGCGCGTCGATTGGAGGCCGCACCGCCCAAAAGTTGATGGCCTGCACTGCTGCCTTCGCCTCATTGTTGAGGGGGCAGTCGAAGAAGGCACCGTCGTCAATCGAGAGGCCATCGGGCAGCGGCAGCGTGACGGAGGCGAGGGAGGAGCAGCCCCAGAAGGCGCGCCAGCCGATGGAGGTGAGGCCGGCGGGGAGGGTGACGCGGGCAAGGGCGGAGCAGCCGTCGAAGGCGTTGTGGCCGATGGAGGTGAGGCAGGCGGGGAGGTCGATGGAGACGAGCGAGGAACAGCCGCGGAAGGCGTTGGTGCCGATGGAGGTGAGGCCGGCGGGGAGGGTGACGGAGGCAAGGGAGGAGCAGTTGCGGAAGGTGCAGCTGCCGATGGAGGTGAGGCCGGCGGGAAGGGTGACGCGGGCGAGGGCGGAGCAGCCGCAGAAGGCGCGCCAGCCGATGGAGACGAGGCTGCTCGGGCAGGCGACCGAGACGAGAGAGGTGCGGCCGCGGAACGCATCGTCCGGCAGGTGCGTCATGCCTTCGGGCAGCACCGCGTGCCCGTCGGCGACGACGACCTTCCAGCCGCCCACGTGCAAGGTCTCGGAGCCGGGAGGCGCGGCGTCGCCCGGTGGCGGCGCTGAAGGCGTCGAGGCGGGCACCACCATCGTGCGGAAACAAAGAAATGGAGGCGTCAATCCGTTAGGATTCTCGCCCGCTCTAGGCCAAAAAGGGCGGCGGGCACGTCTCGAGATCATGGTGCGCGCGCTCGCCCCACCCGTGCCCACGGCGGCCTGCGCGCGCGCGCGCGCGGTAGTAGGAGTAGGCTGCGTGACGAATCGCGCTGGTGGCTTGCCACCGGCTGCTGATCCACGGGAGCAACGACCCGAGCAGCCATACAATGTGCGCACATTGAAAATGGCGACAACAGTGCCGAGCAGCAGCAGCAGCACGCCCACGGCCCGAGCCAGAGCGAGGAGACGGAACGGCCGGGCCGACAACGGAGGCAGCGAGCAAAAAGGCAGCGCGGCGCGGCTCGCGCGCCGCGTGCGCCAAGCAGCCGAGGCTGCCGAGGAGGCCGAGGAGGCCGAGGAGGCCGAGGAGGCCGAGGAGGCCGAGGAGGCCCCCCCCTCCCCCCCGGCGACTCGAACTGGGAGCCAGTCGACGCACGAACGGAACGCGCGCGCATCGCCGGATATGTCAACTCGCAGCAGTGAGGCAGCAGCTCATATACAGTGGATTTTATTTAATTGTTTGCTGTCATTACTGGCGCCTCTGTGCGGAGTGAGGTGGTGGATAGGGTGGGCGCTCGCAGCCGTGGCGAGTGCCGCCCTCGCCGTGCGTCACGTGAGGAAGGGCCGAGGAAGGCCACCGCGCACGTCGGCCCCACGACACAGTGAAATAGTGACAGGAGCAGCACCAGCTGCAGAGCAGGCGCCTGACAGCCGCAGCAGAGCAAAACCGGAGGACCCCCCGCGCAGAGAGAAAAGAAGCGAAAAAGCCAGACGGCGCGCTCGAAAAAGAAAACGCCGTACCCGGCGCCCAGCGCCAAGGGGATGCGAAGCGTGGACGGGGGCAGAGGTCGCCGCCCTCCCGATCCGCGCAAGAAAGAGAATACCCAGACGTATTCACACCCCGTACCCGGACCTACCCAGACCTACCCACACCTACCCAGACGTATTCACACCCCGTACCCGGACATACCCGGACGTATTCACACCCCATACCCAGACCTACCCGGACCTACCCAAACCTACCCGGACCTACCCAGACGTATTCACACCCCGCCCGGACCTACCCAGACGTATTCACACCCCGTACCTGGACCTACCGAAACCTACCCGGACCTACCCAAACCTACCCACACCTACCAGACGTATTCACACCCCGTACCCGGACCTACCCAAACCTACCCGGACCTACCCAGACGTATTCACACCCCGTACCCAGACCTACCCGGACCTACCCAGACGTATTCACACCCCGTACCCGGACCTACCCACACCTACCCACACCTACCCAGACGTATTCACACTCCGTACCCAGACCTACCCGGACCTACCCAGACGTATTCACACCCCGTACCCGGACCTACCCAAACCTACACACCTACCCAGACGTATTCACACTCCGTACCCGGACCTACCCGGACCTACCCAGACGTATTCACACCCCGTACCCGGACCTACCCACACCTACCCAGACGTATTCACACCCCGTACCCGGACCTACCCGGACGTATTCACACCCCATACCCAGACCTACCCGGACCTACCCAAACCTACCCGGACCTACCCAGACGTATTCACACCCCGTACCGGGACCTACCCGGACCTACCCAGACGTATTCACACCCCGCACCCAGACCTACCCGGACCTACCCAAACCTACCCGGACCTACCCAGACGTATTCACACCCCATACCCAGACCTACCCGGACCTACCCAAACCTACCCGGACCTACCCAAACCTACCCGGACCTACCCAGACCTACCCGGACCTACCCAGACGTATTCACACCCCGTACCCGGACCTACCCAGATGTACCCAGACCTACCCGGACCTACCCAGACCTACCCAGACGTATTCACACCCCGTACCCGGACCTACCCAAACCTACCCGGACCTACCCAAACCTACCCACACCTACCAGACGTATTCACACCCCGTACCCGGACCTACCCAGACCTACCCACACCTACCAGACGTATTCACACCCCGTACCCAGGCCGCACGTCGTGGCACTATGACGGAGGTAGACGTGCGACCGCAGCGCGCCCACCACAGTCTCGGTGGTGCGCGCGTGTTAGCGATAGAGTTGCGGGGAGAGCCATGCCCGACTTTTCGAAGGCGAGCCCCACGCCACGGATGGGGCAACCATACCATACCCCGCAAAAAGTTGGAACCCAGCACCTTGTCGTTGTCGCCGGTAGCAACCACCCTCGCGGGCCAATGATAGAGCAACCACCCTCGCTGGCCACCCAACCACGCGGCAGGGTGGCCCTCCTCCTCTCCGCTGCGCTTTTTTCGGCGCTGCTCGTGCTGTTTGCCGGCCGGGCTTGCCGCCTCGCGCTGCTCGTGCCGGCCGGCCGGGCTGCAGAGGCGGGCGAGGCTGGCGACGCCACAAGCTGGTATCCGGGGAAGGAGGCGAAAAGCTGGTACCCGGGCAAGTACGCGGCGCTGACCGCGCGGACCACCTCCAGCCTGCCCACGATGCCGTCCCGGCTCGAGTCGTTCAACCAGTGCGTCTCCCTGCAGCACGCCTACTTCCTCAAGCTGGCGATCAACGACATGCTTGCGACGACCCTCTGGAGCGACCTTGACCCCGGCACTGCCGACGCGAGCATCGGCCTCGAGCCGCAGGCGGAGCCCACGGAGATCACCGGCCCGCCGGTAGGCAAGGCGTGTGCTCTCGCCTGCGCAGGCGAGATTGGCGGAGATCTGCGCTCCGACTGGCCGGGCGCCATCTGGAGCCTGGGCGGCTGGATCGGTGCGGGAAACCTGACGGCGCTCGGGTCCTCCCTTGGGTCGGCGCTGGGCGGCTCACGCTGCCGCGAGGTGACGCGCGCCCACCCGGCCTTCGGCCTCACGGCTCACGAACCATTCGCGACTCACAAGCTCACTCGACAGGTGCACACTCCGCCATTCAATGAGCACTTCACTCCTCTCGTAAAACACCACCCGCTCGCCTTTAATGACTTGGTGACTGACTGGCTGTGGCGGGGCGGCGGGGGCGCGGCGCGCGGGGTGCGGGGTGCGGTGCGGTGTGTGCAATCGTGTGTTTGGCGTCATGTGTATCGAAGTCTAGCTCAGGTGCACACTCCTCTCACTGATTGCTTACTTGCTCGTTCACTCCCCAGGTGCACACGGTCCACTCGCTCGGCGGCTCGATCCTCGGCGCCACCGCGGCGCGAGGCTGCTACCCCTTTGCCCCTGGCACCGGACACGACCCCTGGCCGTGGCCCGACACATGTAGGCGTCAAGGGGCTCGAGGCTGCGCGCCTTGGACGTGCGCCGTGAGTAGCTTCTGTCACGAGGTCAGCGCCGCCCTCACGGCTCGCTCGCAGGTGGCGCGCCTCGAGATCGACGCCGGGCGCCCCTGCAACCCGGCGGCGGCCACCTTCAACGTCTCGGGCTCCGTCCTGTTCGCCGTCGGCGGGGGCGCGCTCGACGTCGGCTCGGCGCTTGAGCATGCGATCGACGAGGTCCTGTGGAGGAACGGGCCGCGGCGGCGCGGCGGAGGGAAGCTCGAGGTTCGCTCGGCGGTGTCGTCGCACTCGGTCTGCGAGATCGAGGGCAGAGCGGCGGCATAATACAATAATATTAATAGAATAAGAATAATAATTGTAGGTCTGCGACAGTGAGGGCGAGCGGCGGCATCACGCTGTGAGCGGCGCCTCTTCACACTTGCAGCTGTGCACAGGTCTGCGAGATCGAGGGCGAGCGGCGGCATAACGCGTCGACGGAGGCGCGGCCGCTCCCGCCGCTTCATCGTATCGTCCGTGACTCTCGTAAAGCCACTGCCGTTGTGACTGGGGTGGCCCTCTCCCGCCGCTTCATCATCTCGTCATGACGTTCTCCTGCTCTGCTATGATCAGGTGGGGCCCCTCACCCTGCTCGCGCAGCTGTACAACGTGACTCTGTCCGCGCGCTTCTCCATGACGATCGCCGCGTGTTCCGTCACGCGCATCGCCATGAGCGAGGTGTCGGTGGGGTGGGAGGCGGTCAGCATCGGTGATTGGTCGGGAGAGGCGTCATCAGTCATGAGTAGTTGTTGTTCATTATTATTTAGGCGGCCACCATCGGCCACCGGTCAGGTGGCGACTTTTCGGTGAACGGCGCGCCGTTCGACTCGGTGTGAGGGTCGGCCGCCATTGGTGAGACGGCCATGGCGGAAGGGACTAAGTATGATGAGAGTGATGAGCAGGTGAGGCTCGGGCGGCACGGCAGCGACGGTGGCGACGACGACGACGAAGGCGGCGACGACGACGACGCTGATGATGACGATGACGATATAGGCGGAGAGGACGGAGAGGGCGGAGGCGGAGAGGACGATAGGAGATCGGTGCGTCTCTGTTCTGAACGCGAGACGCTCATTTTGTTGGTCATAGGGGGCGAGGGCGGGTGGTGGTCGTCGGTCCAAGCACTCAACCCGGGCGCGGCGATGCTCGGGCTGGACGAGATGTTGATCCGGCCGCAGATCGACGCGAGCGCGCAGGCGGCCCTCAACCAGATCCTCTCCGAGACCCTGCCGCAGCCGCTCTGCAACCTCGCCCCCGCCAGCGTGCACGAGTACGCTGGCCAGCTCGCCACGTCGTCGTCGGACGCTGCGGCTGTCGCGGGCGCGGGCCTCGTCAACGGCGCAAAGGCGAGCTTCGGAAGCGCCAGCGCGGGCCTCTCAAAGGCGGGGGCGGGCGTGAGCAGTTTCGTGGATGATATTGTGTGACACGAGCGCAAGGTGGCACACGGCACACAGAGCTCGTTTAGATAGGACAAAAATCTTTTACACAAAGGACACATGGGGCGTTCCGACATGAGCGACAACCTGCTGTCCAGCACTGGCACCGGCGCGGTCGATACTAGACTCTAGAGGGCGCGCCGATAAGCGTTCCGCCGAGGCGCGAGGGAGGGGGGGCGTCTGGGGGGGCGACCCCCCCATCTTTGTTTACCGAATGCGTCTCTGGATTAGAGTGCGTCTAGTAGGTGCCCTACTTAGACGCTCGCTGTCCTCGGTATGCTCGAGCATCCTAAGATGCGCGAGTCCATATTAGTTGCTCCGCGCATCCCGAATTGCTCGCGGCATCTCCGATTGGCCGGTTGCTGTCTCAAAAGACGCGCCGTGCATACTGTGAACAGCGCGTGTCTCAGAAGACGCGCGCATATTTTGAACTATTCGTGCATACTGTGAACAGCACGTGTGGATCTCAAGAAATACACGCACGTGTAAAAAAAAACGAAGGGCTCGGTGTGGCGAGCGCTGCGCGGCGGGCCGTGCCCCCGGCTGTGCGCCGCGGCCGCTGCACTACTACTACTCGCACAGCCGCGGCGCGCCCACCCGAGCACTCGTGGGTGGGCGCCCTATAGCCTCTCCGCGCAACGTGCTTGGGCACGGACAGCGGCTCTCACGTCTAGCAGCGGCAGCAGGCCCACCGCTGCACCGACTCACACTGAACAGCACGCACAGGACGCAGTCATAGAACACTGCCCCTGAGCCACTCACGGCCACGGGCTACTCAGACTTGGACACAGGCACCTCGCTTAGCACTCCGTGCACGTGGCTGTGGCTGCCGGTTGCCGTCACCAGCGCCGCTTCCTGCCCAGATCAAACACCTGCGACGTGGCGGAGGCAATGAGCGGCCCGCGGTGGCCGTGAGAGCGCGCGTGGCGGGCGACGGCTCACCGATCGAGCGGTGTGGTCACGCTTGGGGGCGGCGGCGAGGCGGGCAAGCCACCCGCAGATCCCCAGAAGGACGCCGTCGCGAGGTCGAGGGCGGGCGGCGGGGACGGCGAGGGTGAGGCGCGAGGCGCGAGGCGGTGTTGGCGGCGGCGGTGGCGCGGGCGGCGGCGGTCACGGAGCGGGGGCGAGAGGGTGGTGGCGAGCAAGACACCAGCGCGCGCTGCGCGGTCGCCGTTCTGACTCACATGCCTGCGGACAGCGCCGACGGGTGGTGAGGAGGGCGGCGAGCCGGCGGGCACGGTGAGCTGTCGCCGCGCGCGCTGGTGGTGTGCGCGCGGTCGCCGCGCGCTGGTGGGCGACAGCTCACCGAGCGAGGAGCGAGGAGCAGGAGCGAGTCGGGATGCCCGGTCCCTCAAATCGCCAAGTCAAACAAGAAAAACGTCGCTGCCAGAAAGTACGCTGTCTCTTCCCGTGTCTAGGCGCACGCCCACGCCCTCAGCCTCGAACTGGCCCCGCTACCTGCCGCGCAAACTGGTTGGTGGGGGGGGGAGCGGCGTCGCCGTCGGATCGTCGTAAGCAGTGCTGCATGCAACTTTGCGCCCACCCAGACAGAGCTCGTGACGCAAGCAGATGCATGCGCGGTGCTGAGAACCTGGTTCTCCAGGAGGGGCAGGCCGCGAGGAGAGACCTCACGCGAGCACTCAAGGCAGGGCCCCCAGGGGGTGCCGAGAGATCACACCGCCTTTTCGTGCTCCCTGCTCCCCCCTCGGTGCCCGGTGCACCCGACACACGGTGTCTCCTGAGACGCTTCCCTGTCCAAGTATAGTAAAATGTGATCTAGTATGCAATTGCCATCTCAGAACAGCTGTGCATCTATAGATGCTTGTGGCGTCTAAGATGGAACGCGTAACAAAAGACACGGCGCGGCTATCTCCAGGACAGCCATCGCATCCTAGAATGCCCTGTGTACCCGAGACACATGGTATCTTTGAGATGAAAAGTGCGTCCTAGAATGCGTTTTTGCATTCTAGGACGCATCGATAAACAAAGATGAAGGGGTCGCCCCCCCAGACGGGGGGGGGGGGGGGGGGGCAGGCGGGCGCGGGGGAGTGAGAGGCGGGTCGTGGGGGTGCCGGGTCAGCGGCGGGAGGTGGAAGATAGCTGTGCGACGGCTTGAGCAACATCATCTTGGTGTTGGTTGCCACGCCGAGCAGCTCTTCAAGCCTGCACACACACATGTCACATCGTGCCATTCCGGGCACTTGCTCTCAGCCCACACGGGGCAACCGCGAGCGGCGCAGGTTCGCCGCGATGGCGCGTGTTTGACGTTGCGCGCAGCGCGATGGACGTTGCATCGCCGGGGAACCGCAAGCGCGGCCGCGGCTGAGGTGTGGGGCGCGTGGGCTTGGGCTGTCTCGCGTGAGCCCCGCGTGAGTGTACAGACTCTTCATACTTCAATTTTTATTATGCACCGCAGTCTAGCTTTCGGTGGCATGTGCACATGTGTATATATGGGCGACGTGCAAACCGAACGCAACCGCGCGCACCTACGACCTAGCTTTGACCGCACTGCATCTTGGAGGCGGCGCGGCCGCTGGGCGAGCAGAGACGTGAGAGCTACCGAAGCACTGGCCTCGATCGGCTCGTCATGTCGCCTCGCGCCACACCTCCGCTACTGCCTACTCCGTCTCGCGCGCAATGGCGAAGCCCAAGACGCAATGGCCAAAGTCGAGCGCCGCGATGCCGTTCGTGGCTCCTGCCGAGTCGAGGTGGTACCGCTCGTGGATCTCGTAGATCGAGCAGACGAGGAGCGCCGCCCGCGCGCGGGCCGCCGCGGGGAAGAGCGAGTGGCTTGCCGGCGACCACGGCGCCGCCGCCCGCCGGATCAGCGCCGCCGCCTCGCCCTCGCCGCTCGCGGCGCGCTGCAGCGGCGTCGGCTCGCCTCGTGCAAGCTTGCGCCGCTGCGCAGGAGGGAGGTGGCGCGGGCGGCGGTGAGGGTCTCAAGGTGCGCGAGCGGCGTCCAGCCGCGGCTGGCGACCAGCCAGGCGGCGAGGTCGGCGTGGCCGCGGTTGTTTGAGACCTCCTCGGGCGTGCCGAAGGGCGGCGCTGCGGCGCGGGAGGCGCCGTAGGAGGAGAGGAGCTTGGCGACCTCGAGGTGGCCGCGGCGGCACGCGGCGATCAGCGGCGTGGCGCCGTCGCTTCTGGCTTGGCTTACCGCTGCGCCCGCCTCGAGGAGCAGCCGGGCGATCTCGAGGTGGCCCTCTAGGCATGCAACGTACAGCGGCGTGGCGCCATTCTGCTTGGCTTGGTCGATCGCTGCGCCAGCATCGAGAAGCAGCCGGACGACCTCGAGGTGGCCCTGCTGGCTCGCAATGTACAGCGGCGTGGCGCCTTTGTTGCTGGCTTGGTTGACCGCCGCGCCAGCCTCGAGGAGCAGCTGGGCGACCTCGAGGTGGCCCTTCTGGCACGCGAGGAGCAGCGGCGTGGCGCCGTTCGCCGCGGCTTGGCTGACCGCCGCGCCAGCCTCGAGAAGCAGCCGAACGATCTCGAGGTGGCCGTTCTGGCACGCGATGAGCAGCGGCGTGGCGCCATTGTTGCAGGCTTGGTCGAGCACCGCGCTGGCATCGAGGAGCAGCCGGACGCACTCGAGGTGGCCCTTATAGCACGCGATGTACAGCGGCGTGGTGCCTTCTTCATCAGCTTGATTAATCGCCGCGCTAGCCTCGAGGAGCAGCCGGACGACCTCGAGGTGGCCGAAGTGGCACGCAGCGAGCAGCGGCGTGGCGCCGTCGCTTCTGGCTTGGCTTACCGCTGCGCCAGCCTCGAGAAGGAGCCTGACGCACTCGACGTGGCCCTGCTGGCATGCGATGTACAGCGGCGCGAAGCCTTCAGCGTCTGCTTGGTTGACCGCCGCGCCAGCCTCGAGGAGCAGCCGGACGCACTCGACATGGCCCTCCTGGGAGGCAATGAACAGCGGCGTGACACCATCGTGCATCGCTTGGTCGATGTCAGCGCCAGCGTCGCGCAGCAGCCGGGCGATCTCGAGCTGGCCCGTCTCGCACGCCATGTACAGCGGCGTGGCGCCGTTCTGCTGGGCTTGGTTGACCACTGCGCCGGCCTCGAGGAGCAGCCGGGCGCACTCGAGCTGGCCCTGGAGGCACGCCATGTACAGCGGCGTGGCGCCTGTCTCGTCGGCTTGGTCGGCCGCCGCGCTGGCCTCGAGGAGCAGCCGCGCGATCTCGACGTGGCCCTTGTAGCACGCGACGTATGGCGGCGTGAAGCCTTCAGTGTCTGCATGAGCCACCGCCGCGCCAGCCTCGACGAGCAGCCGGGCGACCTCGAGGTGGCCGTTCTGGCACGCGATGGAGAGTGGCGTGGCACCATCGTGCATCGCTTGGTCAATGTCAGCGCCAGCGTCGCGCAGCAGCTGGGCGCACTCGAGGCGGCCGTTCTGACACGCGATGAACAGCGGCGTGGTGCGTTCTGCGTGGCTTGGTGGACCGCCGCGCCGGCCTCTAAGAGCAGCCGCGCGATCTCGAGGTGGCCCTGGAAGCACGCGACGTACAGCGGCGTGAAGCCTTCAGCGTCTGCATGAGCCACCGCCGCGCCAGCCTCGAGGAGCAGCCGGACGCACTGAATCTGCCCCTCCTGGCACGCGATGTACAGCGCGGAAGCGCCGCCGCCAGTCGTCGCCCCGACGCTCGCGCCGCCCTCGAGCAGCAGCCGCACCGCCTCGGCCTGCCCGTGACGAGCGGCCCAGGTCAGCAGCGTGTCCTGCTTCTCGGTGTCGTGCCGCGCGTCTAGCTGGGCCGCGAGCGACGCGCCGCGCGTCCGCCCGGACAGGAAGGCGCGCAGCGAGGCCAGATCGCCCTGGGCCAGGTCGGCGAGGCGGGTTGGGCTGCCAGCACCGCTCATGCCGCCCTGTAGTGAGTTGTGAGCTCTGCACAAACCAAGATCACCATGAAAAAGGGACACGCCCGCCTTGACCCAACATAGAGGGCGTTGTGTAGCCTAGCTTTTGGGTAATATAAAAAGGGACACGCTGTCGCCCGACCCGACGATGGCGAACGCTCGGTTTACAAAAAAAATCCAACAGAGGGTTGGAGGGCGGGAGAATCCAAAAAAGCCGTCCAAAAAGCCACAAAAAGCCAGCGAGCCTCCCGTTACGCGATTGCCGCGAAGCGCAGCATGATGCGTGGCCAGCTTGGGAGGCTGCGCCGCTGTCAGAGGCGGCCGCCACTGTGAGGTCTCGAGGGCCGACCGGCCGGGCGAGCATCCGCGCTGCCGACGACGTGCTCGAGGCTGACCAGAGCGACGAGATTCTCGCATGCTTTGAGGAGGCGCTCGGCGAACGGCAGCCAGAGATGGGAACGGATGCTGCAGCAGGGCGAGAGGCGAACGCCGAGAGTAAATCGCGGCGCGGCCGTCGGTTGGGCGCCTGGTAAAACGGCCGCACGTGAACATGGGGCACGGTAATGGATGGGATAGTAGAGCGGTTTAGTGGTCCGAAGGAATCAAGGCAGGGCAGTGAGCTCGCAGGCTGCTCAGTCGCCGTCGCCGCGTGTCAAGTCAGGACAGAGCTCAGAGGACACGCCCGGCCGCTGCGGCGTCTGTGGCTGAATGAGGTGCAGTGTTCCCGTGTCGGGAGTCGTGGTTGACACTCTGAGTTGACGGGGTCTAGAGTTGATTGTTGCAACTGGGTGAGTGGGTGTGCGCGAGCGGCGCCCACCTACAGTAGCGGGGGACATGGAGATGGCTCCTGACCAACCGAGGTTCATACGAGACCGTGGTCGTGGAGAGCAAGGCCGTAGCCGTTCGCGCCAGACGTGCTACCGTACACCAGAGGGGAAGCGCGCCAAGGCATGTTGTCGCCGCGACGCGGTCAAGGCTTCGGAGGGCTGGTCCCACGAGGACCTGCGATTGGTCCAGGGAAGCATTGCATCGCTCAAGCTGCGGGCCGGAAAACCGGCAAACCGGACCGACAGGTAAAAGTCCTGGGCGTTGCAATATTTAAACGGCTGTTCCGGTTCCGTGTGCGGGGTAACCCGCGCACGGGGAAGCTTCACGGGTTCGAGTCGCCAAACATTAAGCAGCGGAGGTGTGCCGAGGGGGACCGGGAGGCGGTAAGCCGTCGCCGCCCGGCGCTGCATGCAGCACCGTGGAGTGTGTGTGTGCTCTCTCTCTCTCTCCTCTCTCTCCTCTCGTCTGTGCTGTCTGCCTGACTCAGGCACTCAATCTGCCGATGCGTGATTGTGTGTGGGCTGCTCCGAGGGGGCCCTCTGTGCGATCCGACGGGTAGGGGGGCTGTGCCCGGGCGGTGTCCGGTGTGGAGTCCCCTTCTGATCCCGCCTGGGATGTTGGGTGTGAGGTTGTGGCGGCTTCGATCCCAAGGGGGGGAGCTGATCCCACTCAATAACCAACTCTCAGGGGCAGTAGGTGGGCGAGCTTCAGGCACGCTCATCTCGATCGTCAAGACGTCGCTACGCGCGGTCTTCCGCGGGGGGAGCTGCGTCGACGGGTGCGGGACCGCGGCGCAGCCAGTGCCGCGGCGAGGCCTCCGGCTGTTTGCGGCGGGCGGCTTGCTGCTCGCGGCGATGGCGAAAAACTCGTCTCGCCACACGCCAAGGGCTTATGCTCTGGCGAGACGTGAGGCGCATGCGCCCAGGAGGGGAGGGGGCATGTGTAACGACACTGCTAGAGATGCCTTTCGGGGCCCAGAGATAAAACTTCTGTGATGCCATGCGTGACCTAGTAGTGTCCCCAGCTATGGGCGTGTCCACGTTGGAGCCAGGTGTGGTGTGGGCGCGAGAATAGCTCCGCCGTTCAGGGAGGCAACCGATGCGAGTCGACTGGTGTGTGTCGTCGTGGTTTCGTATCAAGAATACTCACTCACACGCAGCACCGTGGCGATGGCGCTAAGAGGTTCCTCTTTTCCCCGCGCCCCCCCCGCAAGGCGCGCGATACACACTTCCGGCAGAGTGACGAGCGCACAGGGAGCGCATGATGAGCGGGGGTGACGTGTGTGTGTGGGTGGGTGGGTGGGGGGGGGGGAGCCGAAAGCCCGAAGAAGTGCCTCTCACTCAGAACTCAGATTTCGCACACACACACAACCACGACGCACGAGCCAGTTGGATGGAGTTTTGCAGACTGCGTTGCACGGAGTTGGCGACGCAGACAGAGTGCAGAGCAAACGCCTCGATGCACGACGGCGGTTGTGTCGGCTCACCGACCGTAATAGCGTTAGCGAGCTCTACACGTGGGTATTTGAAACTCGATCGTCTCGCTCTCTCTCTCGCTCTCGCTCTCTCTCTCTCGCTCTCTCTCTCGCTCGCTCGCTCGCTCTCTCTCTCTCTCTCTCTCTCTCTCTCTCGCTCTCTCTCTCTCTCTCTCTCTCTCTCTCTCTCTCTCTCTCTCTCTCTCTCTCTTAGACGCTAGTAGGAGCTCTCTCCCTGCGCAACTGCCAGCTCCCTCCCTCAGTGTCTAGTCTCTAGAACGTGCTTCAGGCGCCCAGACGTCTGCCGCCTCGCCAGAAATGCTTCGATTTCTTATACTCCGCCACATCGAAAGTGGAGCAAAAACTCAGCCTTGAGTTCTCAGCGCCCTCACGGCCCGCCGATCGATGGCAAACCCGATTCCCTCCATCCGTGTGGCGCCGCCCGATGGTGCCGGGAACACTATTCCGGAGCGATTTCCCCTAGGGTTAGCGCCGAAAAATCCGGGCCCTTTAGCTCCGGCTTCCTAGGGCTATTGGGCCTTCGAAGCCGACCACGAGGAAGGGCCGACTTTGGGTTAGCATAGCGGGCCGAGAAGGCCGCCCACACCCGCGAGGATGGTTGTGTGTTTGCCTCCCCGACTCGGACGCACGGACGGCCGCCTCAGAGGGCGGGCATGCGTCCTCTCGCCCTCTCACCCGCGGGAGATGGCTGAGTCCACGGAGCCGCACGCTGCCTCTCCTTGGACGCAAGGCTCTCCGACTTCTATAGAGAAAACCCCATCTGCACCAGCGTTTCAAAGTGAAATCGTCAAGAGAGATCGATGCTCCGGGCTAGGCTTTGGGGTAGGCAGCCACCCTTTCGAAGGTCGGAGGCGTATATCTGCACCGACCTGTGAAGACGCTTTACTTGCGAGCACAGTGCGTGGACCAAGATGGCGCGAGGGCACCGCGCAACATGGCTAAGGAGGCAGGGAAGCTTCTGCTCCGAGACGGCCGCTCAGGACCGCAAAATGGTGTGTTAGTCGGGCTGGCCAGTCCCCGGGGCCCGACGGTCCAATGTTTCCCTCAAGAGTACTTCTCCCCTACCCCACCCTTTCACTTTAGATCCGTGTCGGATCATAGTACCTCAGTATTGAGTGATGTGCTCCCTGGTCTCCCCCCCCCCGCCCGTCCCCTCTCCCCGTCCCCGCGCATCGTCGCCGCTCGACATTCCAGGGATGCGACAACAACGCGAGCGGCCGATTGCGCTTCAGCTGCAGGCGTGCGCCTCGATCGCCGCGATCACCTTCGCCTTCTTGTTGATGGTCGCCTGCAGCAAGGTTTCCGAGACGCTTCCGGGAAGGCTCCGAGCAGCCTCTGCCTTCTTGTTGTCGGACGGTCGCCAGCTCTCGCGCGCTCTTGCCCGACGGAGACACGGCGTCGGGGTCCGCGCCGGCGGCGAGCAACGCCTCGACCACGCCTGCACGAACGGGGTGCGTGCAGCGAGTGACCTTTTGTGGCGAGTGGGCTAGGCGGCCACGAGCACAGCTCGCCGCCGCCTGAGTCATTCACCGCCCGCGGTGACCTCAGGACATCCATATTCATTCGCCGGCGAGCAGCAGCGGCTCGGCGGCGCCCGCGGATCCCGCCCGCGCAGCGATGGCGAGCGGCGTCCAACCGCCCTTGCCCGGCGCCGAGTGAGACGCGCCGTGCCGCAGCAGCAACCGCACGACCCCCACCTGAGTCATCGGCGAGTTGACGGGTCATTCCGCGGCGCTGCAGCGGCTGCTGCACAGCAGGGGCAGCCTCGCTGGCGGCGGCGGCGGCGTGGATGCAGCCGTTGGCCATGCCGATCTCGCTGCTGCCGAGGGAAGGGTCGGCGCCTAATGGTTGATGACTATTGGTTGATGACGCATTGGCCAATCGTTCACGGCCAGGCCATGCCGAGGGAAGGGTCGTGCGCCGTGCGCAAGCAGCTTCTCGCACAGCGCGAGGTCGATGCCGCCCCGCTCCTCCTCGAAGTCGAGCGCCAAGTGCAGCGCGGACCGGCCCTGCTGGTCGCGCAAGTTTGGGTCGGCGCGGTGCGAGAGCAGCAGCTCGACCATCGGCGTGCTCGGCTCCTGCTCACAGCTGCAGCCCGTGAACGGCGTCTCTTCGCGGCTCCACCTCGGCGTGCTCTCGGCTCCTCGGTGTCCAGCGCCAGGTGTAGCGGCGTGACGTCGAGGCCTGTCCCCATCAATGGTTGATCACTCCGTGTGTCTTGAACCACCAAACGGCGCGCGCATCTGCGTGAGCTCATGCCTGCGCGCAGCACCTCCATCTCCCCCTCCGCGTTGAGCTTGCCCCACTGCCCGGATGTGTACTCGTCGCTGGCAGGCGCAGACTGCACGTTTGCATCGGCGCCGGCGCGGAGCAGCATACCCGCAGCCCGCACGTGCCCCGCCTGCGGCGACGAATATCCCTCAGTCCTTCATGATGACTACTACTGGGCAAGAGCAGCCCGCACGTGGGGGCCCGCCTGCACCAAGCTATGCAGCGGGCTGATCCCGCGGTCGTCCAGCTCGTCGCACGCCTCGCAGACATCATCACTCAACACTCACTCAGAGTGAATCACTAGCTCGTGAGGCTGCAACCGTCCGCGTCGCACGCCTCGCAGACCGCCGCCTCCCCGCCGCTCGCCGCCACCGCCTGCACCACCAGCTCGAGGGCAGAGAGGCCGTCGCTCGCGCCTAGGAGTAGGACACTGTCGCTCTTTGAAGACAAGACCTCCGCGCGGCGCCGCCGGGCCGTCGCTCCGTCGCCGTACGGGTCCGCCTCGCCCTGGTCCGCTCGCTCGTCGGCGATGGCGACGGTCGCGAAGCTCGCGTAGTGCAGCGGCGTCCTGCCGCGCGCGTCCTTCCAGCTCTCGTTCTCGAGGATCTTGCCCGCATCCAGCAGCTCCTACCACGCAAGGCTCCGGGAAGGGTTTCCGCGGATTGGCTCCGCCTCCGAGGAGCTCGCCAGCGCCGCTGCTCCTTGAGCTTGTCGAGGTCGAGCGCCTTGATGGCCTGCGTCAGCTCGTTTCGCGGACCGCTCCGCATCAGCACCGCCGCCACCTCCTCCTCGGAAACCTTGAGCAGCCGGTCGAGGTCGCGGATGACTGCGCCGCGGTCGAGCAGCAAACGCACGACGCTGAGCCGGTTGTTGCGGACGGCAAAGTACAGCGGCGGGAGGCCGTCGTCGTTCTCCTGGTTCGGGTTGGCGCCGGCGTCCAGCAGCGCGTCCACGACATCCACGTGCCCCCAGATGCTAGCAATGTGCATCGCCGTCTGGCCGATGACGTTGCCGGCGTTGGCTGAGACGCCGTCGTCGAGGAAAGTCAGGAGGCATTCGACGTCGCCGTCCCTGGCGGCCGCGAGCATGCCGGTCGGGAGGGCTCTTTCACCCATTTTGTGCAGCTTTCAGCACCCCCGGGCCAGCCCGGCTGTGAAGGCAGCTGTGAACAATGAAATACGTTCTGGGGGGGGCGACAGGGAGGATGTGGCCCTGAGTTATGTGTACGCCGACTCAGGGTGTGTGGCAGCCAGCTGGCTGTGTGTCTTGTGAGCCTGTTTGTGTCTGTGTGTCGCTCGTGCGTGTCGTCATCATCTGTCTAGCGTCCACCCATACCGCGTTGGTGTCCAGTCCGAGCCTGGCTGTTCTTCACCTTTCTACCTACCTACCTACCTACGTTCTCGAGGTTGTCGAGGTGGATATCCTTTGGCCGCGTTGGGTACCCGTGTAGTTGTTCAAGCCGAACCCGTCGTTGAAGCAGCCAAACGACCCTTCACGTCGTCGTGATGATTTCCACGGAGTTTCCTCAGGGTCGTCAGGGAACTAGACTCTAGAGGGTGCTGAGGGGTGAGGGTCCAACTTCAGAATCGTGCTTTTTCAGTGTATGTAGCTCTTACGTACGTACCCGAGAGAGAGAGAAAGGGAGAGGCAGGCGCGAAATTTCTAGGCCCTTGCCCGAAGGTGTCACCTCGGTCGGTGAGCAGGCAGGGAGCAGGCGGACATCGCTTCCAGGGAGGGGGGCGCCCTTCTACTCACGCCCCCAGCTCGATACTCTGGGTCTGGGGGAGGCGTCGGTGGCGGCCTCGGCAGCTGCACCGCGTCCTCTAAAGAAAGAAAGAAAACACAACCAGGGAGTCGCTCAGACATAGCGGCAGACGAATTGGGGACGGCCGACGCCCGACAAAGCATGATCGAGGAGGGTCTGCCACATCGACGCCGCGCCCTCGTTTGCACCCTCTTCGCTCTTGTTGCTCTTGTTGGGCTCCTGCCCCTCGCTGTTGGCCACCGTGCGTCGCACGAGTGGAATGGTGGGATGGCGGAGTGGTTGGGGTGGATTCAGAGGGCATCGCCCATGAGCAGTCTCTTCTCCTCGGTCGCCTCCTACACAACCCGCGGGGAACTGGCAGCCGGGATGATCCCGGAGCCCGACGACGCCATCGCCTTCCTCTACGACCACTCACAGGTTCAGCAGTTCGAGCTGCGGCTCAGCCCGGAGAACATGAAGTTCCTCGACGACGATCCCACCGCGGAGGAGTGGGTCCCCGGAACGTTGGTCTACGAGGGAGTCAGCTACGACAAGGTGGGCATCCGCTACAAGGGGAGTGTCGGCTCCTGGATCGGTTGTGTGGAGAACGCGACGCCCGATAAAATGGCGGCCGGAGAACTGGACATCTCTGGTGCTCGCGTTTGCTCCAAGCTGTCGCTCAAGGTGTCCTTCAACAAATATGACAAGGAAGGCCGATTCTTTGGCGTAAAAAAGCTGCTGTTTCATTCGATGAACAACGACCCCTCCCAACTAAGGGACCGACTCGCCTACCAGCTCTTCCGCTGGATGGGCGTCGCCGCTCCACGAGCCAACCACGCTATCGTCACCATCAATGGGCGGACGGGACTTTACGCCAACATCGAGTCGGTCGACGGCCGCTTCACGCGCAGCCGCTTCGCAACCGGGCCAGACGATGGCGAGGGCAACCTCTACAAGGAGGTGTGGCCGACCGCCGGCGCGCTCCCTCTCGCCCCACTGACGAAGGAGCGGCTGCACGATGCGCTCGAGACGAATGAGGACGAGGCGTCGGTCGACGACATCCTCCTCTTCAATGAGCTCATCATCGACGACTGGCTCAAGGCCAGTGGCAACAAAGAGGGGTCGCCTCGCCGCCATCTTGAGAGGTACTTTAATGTCCCCAACCTGGCCAGCTTCTTCGCCGTCGACCGCACCATCCGCGCGGACGATGGCCCCTTCCACTTCTACTGTAGCCCCGAGGGGTGCGCCAACCACAACTTTTATTTCTATGACGGCATCAAGCGCGACAAGGAGCCCCAAGCCTAGTTCTCCTTCACTAGCTCCTTCACTCTCCACACGGAGTGGTTCATGCGTGCATAAGGAACCGTTACCTGAGCAGCTTGCCCCATATCGGTAGTCTCTCGACCGTAGGAGTGGCTCTGGCTGGTGGCATGGGACATGGACAACTCGTTCGCCCTCCCGTCTACTGCTCCGGGCGCGACCCCCGCTGACGGGATCCTCTCCACGCCGCTGCTGGCATAGCGTCCGGCCCGCCTAGGCTCATCTCGACACCGTCTTGGCGGTATAGGTTCCTCTTCGTCACCGATGAGTGGGACAACACCGAGGCCAAGTGCGAGCCTCATGGCGCTGAGGGGCCCGGGCTCATGCAGATGCCTCCCTCCTGCGACCCGCTGATCCGCACCATGGCCGAGAGCTACAAGGGCGAGTACGAAGCCGCCGTCGACCGCCTGCTGTCCGGTCCTTTTAGTGCCGCCACCGTTGACGAGAGCCTCGAGCGGTGGAGTGGCCAAATCCGAGAGCTGGTCGCCGAGCTCTACTCAAAGGACGCGGGGTTCGTCGCCACGGCCGCCCGCGGCCACCGGTGTCGTTGAAGAGCCAACTCACCACGCCACGAGCTGCGTAGGCTCATCTCGCCTGCCGACTGGGACGCGGGCCTGGAGGAACTCAAGTCGCGCGTCTACTTGTTGCGCGCCATGGCGAGCGGAGATGTCACCTTCAAGGCCCGGGCGCGCGGGGGACCGGCAGCGGCAGAGGCGAAGGGTGCAAGCATGGCGGCGGCGGTGGCGAGGGCGAATGCGGCGGCGGCGGGGAAGCTGGTGGCGCGGGAGGTGGCCGAAGCGGATGTGGAGGCGGCGGCGGCGGAACCGCGGGCGGTGGAGTGGGCGGTGGCGGTGCGAGGCTTGGGAAGCTGAGGAGGAAGCAGAGAAGGGAAGCTGGCATGTATGTATGTAGGAAGGTGAAGAACAGTCAGGCTCGGACTGGACACCGACGCGGTATGGGTGGACGCTAGACACAGATGATGACGACACGCACGAGCGACACACAGACACAAACAAGCTCACAAGACACACAGCCAGCGGGCTGCCACACATCCTGAGTGGGCGTACACATCACTCAGGCCACGTCCCCCCTGTCGCCCCCCCCAGCTGGCGAGGCTTGGACACCGAGTTTTTCTCCTTTTTCGCCACCTGTGGAGTCTAAAAACTCTAGATTCCGCAAACGCCCCGCTAAAGTAAGCGTCCGCCATGGATGACTCCACCGCCAAGATCGTGCGGGAGTCATCCATCGCGGCCGAGCATGGCGTCGGTATCGTCCAGAGCGACGGCCCCGGCCTCGCGCGGGCGTCGCGGCTGCGCCTGAGCTCTGCCGTGGACGAGTCGATGGCGACGCCGGCCGCCATATCATACCGGTCCGCCTACCAGAGGCACAGGCAGGGCGCCGCCTTCGGCGCGCTCGGCGAGGCGCCCGCGGAGGACTCCCTCTCGCGCCGCTCGCTCGACGGCGTCACGACCGGCTCAGAGACGGATTCGCCGGCGCTCTCGCCGGCAGTGCGGCGGCAGAGCTCGTCGAGCGGCGGGGTGTACGGGCGGGCGGAGCACTACCGCGTCGAAGCGGACTTCGGCGCGCTGATGGTCTGGAGGATGGACTACCAGGCCCACCGCGCAGGCGCTGCAAAGGGCTCTCGCGGCGAAGTCGGTGCCGGCCTGTCGATTGCGGCGGTGCGGATGCTGCCCGTGGCCAGGCAGGCAGCGCACCTGAGGCAGCTGGCGCGGCTGACGGAGGCCAAGGCGCGCGACTCGGCGGTGGAGGCGACCGCGCAGGCGCCGGCTGTGCACGTCCACGTCGGCGCTGGCCGGCTTGGGCTGGGCCTGGTGCTGCCCGCGCTCGCTGCCGGGGCAAAGGAGCACGGCGGCGGGCTGGTCGTCCTCCAGCGCCCCTCCGCCACCTGGGCCCCGATACAGCACGGCTGCCTGGTGGCCTTCACCGTCAACGGCGAGACGACGTGCACGCTGCGGGCGGTGCGGGCGGAGGGGGCAGCGGTCCGCCCGCTGCTGGCGGAGGGCGGCGCGGGAGGGTACGACGGGCTGCTGCTGCTCACGCTCGACGATGCCTCCCTCGACAGCGTCGCCGCGTGCGCCACCTCCGTCTCCTCCTCCCTCGGCCCCGCGCTGCAGAAAGGGATCGAGCCGCTGGTGGCCGCGCTCGGCCGCGCGGACCCGGCGCGCTTGGGCGGTGGTACTCTGCGGCTGTACGCGGCGGAAAACGACCACGCCGCGGTGGAGAAGCTTGGAGCACGCGACGAGTACCGGGCCTTGCGCCTGCTGCCGCTGCTGGTCGACCGCGTCTGCACCGCCTGCGACGTGTCGGAGAGCGAGGTTGCCACCCGGGCAGAGCCGTGGCAGGGTGAGATCGTCTTGATGACGCCGCCCGACACCACGCCGCGCCCCCGCACCGGCCTCCGGCTGGTGCTCGCCCGCGCCCCCTTTGCCGGCCCGACCATCCGATTGCCAGAGTCAGACGCGGAGGCGCACTTTCTGCACCGGCGGAAGATCCTGACGGTCAACGGCACGCACACCACCCTCGCCTTCCTCACGCTGGCGCTGCACGAGCCGCCGCCGCACACCGGCCTGCCCGCCGGTGACTACGAGCTGCTGCGCGCCGTCTCGGACGGCGACGGCGGCGGCGGCGACGAGGACGACGACGAGGTGCTCCGCGTGGAGGAGACGCACAGGATGGTCTGGTCGTGGTGCGTGGCGAGGCAGCTCCTCCTCCTCTTCGAGTTCCCGAGCGAGGTTGCGCGCGCGGCGCTCGGCTGCCCCCCGGACGAGGGGGACGCCTCGGACCGGAGCCTCGCAGACGCTCTGCTCGCCGGCGCGCGCGTTGGCGGCGGGCGGCCCGGCAGTGAGAGGGGCGTGGAGCTCCAGCCGAGAGGACGTTGGGCGTAGGCGCGCGCATCGCAATCGAGCGGCTCGGCCGAGGAGGCGACACGACAAAGCGCGTGCTGGGCGGCGGGGTGGTGAACCGGTTCGAGATATGGGGAGATATGGGGAGATATGGGGAGATATGGGGAGATATGATATGATGAGCTGGGCGGCGGGGTGGTGAACCGGTTCGAGATATGGGGAGATATGGGGAGATATGGGGAGATATGATCTGATGAGCTGGGCGGCGGGGTGGTGAACCGGTTCGAGATATGGGGAGATATGGGGAGATATGGGGAGATATGATCTGATGAGCTGGGCGGCGGGGTGGTGAACCGGTTCGAGACGCGGCCTGAGCCGGCCGTGAGTGAGCTTGTGGACACCACAGGTTCGAGACGCGGCTCAAGCCGATCGCAACCTTCCTCGACACGTCGTGCGCCTCCTCAAAGTGGCTGCGAGGCCCGTCTCATCACGCGCGTCTGCCGCCGCGCGCCACACCTCCGTCTCAGGCGCGCGTGTTTCTTTTTCTACAGGCCGCCTCGCCAAGACGGTGCTCCGGCGCGCAAAGCTGACGGAGACGGCGGTGCGGCTCTCCGTCCTTGGGCTCGTCGCCGACGCGGAGCGCTTCGCCGTGCCCGCCGACGGCGCGGGCGCCGGCAAAAAGCTGTGAGTGGGTCCGTTGCGGCGGCGGCGGCGGCGGCGGCGGCGGCGCGCCCCCCTGGTGTCAAGTTTGGGGGGGCGTGTGAGCGACTTTTGCGAGTCGGGAGGTTGTAGGCCATAGTGTTACGCGACCGCGATGCTTCCGAGGCGGAGTGGAGGCTCTGCGCGCTAGAGATCGAGGACGAGGTCCCTCTCTCGCCACGAGAGCCACAGTCAGCAGTCTCGGGTCTCGCCATTCCTCGCGTGGGCCGTGGCCATTTTTTTTATAGTGCCTGTGTGACACATGAAGTATTGCAGTCTGTGTGTCGTCATGGTTTGATCGATCCTGTAGTAATGACTACGATGCGACACTCGCCGGACGCCGCTCTCTCAGGCACGACACGACGACACAGGCGCGGACTCTCGTGTCTCGTCTCGCGCCACTATGTCAAAGGCTAGTGCCATTTCACTCAGTCTGACGCACGCTAATATCTTGAAAACGTCTCCAACGGAGCTCCGTGTTGCTTCCAGCGCCCTCCCCCGCGCTCCCTGCGGCCATGGCCGATGATCCTAGGAAGAGAGGTCATCTGGCTACCGCGAGAGCGACCCAACTCGTCGACATCGTCCGATGATGGTGCCGCAAAGTCAGCCTTCGGAGGCTATCGTGGGGTCGAGCCGGCAGTAGCCGTGACATGTGGTTCCACCACCCCTCGTAGGCTTTGCCTCTGACCGCCACCGTTCCCAGACTGCCTAATGGGATGGAAAGGAAGGCTGGGCGAGCGTATAGAAGCGTGCTCGACCTCGTCGTGGCAACCTGTACGGCAGCGCTGGTAGGCGCGATGAGCGTCGTGCCACCTGACCCGAGACGGGTCGCAGGCGTCGTACCGAGCGCATCGAGACCGTGTCATGATGTGATCTGCACGGGTGAGTCACGTCGGCGTCAAAGGAGCGACGTGTGACCTGTCAGAGCTTGATCTCTGATCTCAGCGGCGTCGAGTCGTCTCTGGCGCGCGACAAAGGTACATACCCAGGACGCGCAGAGGCAGCTGCGACCCAGCCGAGTGGACGGCGTCACACCGCGCCACCTGCTGTGTGACGCCGTCTACTCGGCGGGGTCGCAGCTGCCTCTGGAAGGCACCGAGATGTACCTTTGCGCAAATGGTCAAATCAAGGTTTTGTAACGCGAGCTGTGCCACAGTGAATGGCACTAGCCATAACTACAGGGGTAGGCAATGAAACGGAGCTTTGCGCCCTTTCCCGCCCGCCTGGGGGGCACCCAGGCCGGCCACCTGATCGGTAGTGGTGGACGGGAGGCGCGAACAGCGCCATCTTGGGGTCTACACGCCGACCAGTGCTCCCGTCAGTGACCAGGAAGAGGGGATGAGTGGACTTCTCAGCCGCCGGCCGCGCGTCCGTGTGGTCTACAGTTAACGAACCAAAAGCCCTGCTTCCGTTTTAACACAAATTGGGTGGCGAACTCGGCGCCCATAGCTCTGGCTCAGGGAGGCGCCGGCGTCTTGGGCCACGGCGACCAGCAGAGCCAGCTGCTGCCGAAGAAGGTCGAGGCTTTGGCTGACCAGCGCGTCGTCGCTGTGTCGGCTGGAGGCTACCACAGCACCGCCATCACCGCCGATGGCGCTCTCTGGAGCTGGGGCGAAGGGACCCTTGGCAAGCTGGGCCACGGCGACCGGCAGAACCAGCTGCTGCCGAAGAAGCTCGAGGCCTTGGCTGGGCAGCGCGTCGTCGCTGTGTCTGCTGGGTCCCTCCACAGCATCGCCCTCGCCGCCGACGGCGCCGTCTTAACCTGGGGCGACGGGCGAGGGCGAAGGCGGCCGCCTAGGCCATGGAGAGGACCTGTCCAACCAGCTGCTGCCCAAGAAGATCGAGGGGTGGGCGCCGGGGCAGTGAGGTGGGTTTGTCTGTGCGCCCGAGATTCTTACGCTTGTGGTGGTGGTTAGGGGGGGGGGGCACTCGAGCGGAGGATGGGAAGGCGGTGCTGACACCAACATGCCATCCTTAGGTAGGCGGCGGCCACGTTCTTTCTTTCTACGGATGTTGAAACGGATTCGCGCACAATCCCACGCAGGAACGGGCCGCCAAAAAGGCAGCGCGCAGTCGTTTTCTCTTCTCGCGATGTCCACCCCACAGCGCCGCTCGCGCCGCCTCGCCGCCGCCGCCGCCGCCGCCGCACGCTGCCCCCTCACCGACCTGCCCCTCGAGCTTCTCGCGCGCGTCATCTCCCGCTTCGACAGCCCCGCCGACATCGCTCGCGTCGCGGCCGTCTCGCTGCTCTTCCACGTCTCGCTTGCGCTGGAGGGCATCCGCTTGTGGGCGCAAGAGCGCGGCTTCGAGCTGCCGGCGCAGCCAGAGGGCGAGAGCTGTGCCGTGCGGTGGCTGTGCCTTTCGGCGCTGCTGCGCGAGTCCAACCCACCGGCGAGGGCAGCGGCAGGCTCCTCGCACAGCCTCTTCATCGTCGGCGAGGGGCGGCTCTCGTCGTGCGGCAAGGCTCTGAGCTGGCAGCCAGGCTTCCTCGGTCACGGCGAGGGCGTGACGCGGCTCAACACGCCGACCCGGCTCCCTTCACCGCTGGGCGGAAAGCGCGTCGTGAGCATGGCGGCTGGAGGTCTGCACAGCCTCACCCTCACCGCCGACGGAGCCGTCTGGAGCTGGGGCAATGGAGGCCCTGGCCAGCTGGGCCACGGCGACCGGCAGACCCAGTGGCAGCCGAAGAAGGTCGAAGCCTTGGCGGGCCAGCGCGTCATCGCCGTGTCGGCGGGAACTTCTCACAGCCTCGCCCTCACCGCCGACGGCGCTCTCTGGAGCTGGGGCAATGGAGCCTTTGGCCAGCTGGGCCACGGCGACCAGCAGGGCCAGCTGCTGCCAAAGAAGGTCGAGGCCTTCGCTGGCCAGCGTGTCGTCGCCGTGTCGGCTGGAGCCCGCCACAGCCTCGCCATCACCGCCGACGGCGCTGTTTGGAGCTGGGGCGGGGGAGACGAGGGCAAGCTGGGCCACGGCGACCAGCAGAACCAGCTGCTGCCAAAGAAGGTCGAGGCCTTCGCTGGCCAGCGTGTCGTCGCCGTGTCGGCTGGAGCCCGCTACAGCCTCACCATCACTGCCGACGGCGCCGTCTGGAGCTGGGGCTGGGGAACCTCAGGCCAGCTGGGCCACGGCGACGAGCAGAGCCAGCTGCTGCCGAAGAAGATCGAGGCTTTGGCTGGCCAGCGTGTCGTCGCCGTGTCGGCGGGATACTTTCACAGCCTCGCCATCACCGCCGACGGCGCTGTCTGGAGCTGGGGCAGTGGCTCCTTTGGCATGTTGGGCCACGGCGACGAGCAGCACCAGCTGCTGCCCAAGAAGGTCGAGGCCTTTGCGGGCCGGCGCGTCGTCGCTGTGTCGGCAGGAGACAACCACAGCCTCGCACTCACCGCCGACGGGGCCGTCTTCACCTGGGGCGCGGGCGGAGGCGGCTGCCTAGGCCACGGAGAGGACCTGTCGAACCAGCTGCTGCCCAAGAAGGTCGAGGCGTGGGCGCCGGGGCAGTGAGAAGCCCGCGCAGTTGGACAAGGAGGGGATGCTCCGGCTTCTCGCGGCGCTCTCAACGAGGAGAGGATTCGGTTCGGCGTCACGGCGGGGCCGAGCCCGAGGGTGGGCGCGGCGGCGGTGGCGGCGGAGGCGACGACGGACGAGGCTGGTGTTGGCTGAGGCCGTCGCCGAGGCGGCGACCGCCGAGGCTGCGGCGGAGGCTAGGGGAGGGGGTGGAGGCGGCGACCGCCGAGGCCAATCGGTCGGCCGTGGGTGGCAGCTCGCGCTGATGCGGCGGCCCGGCTCGGCGTTCGCCCATACACGGAGGGGTGGAAGGAGCGGGGCAACAGGGAGTAGGCAGTAGCCCATGGGCGCCTTGAGAGACACCTTTAAGGGGGGCACACACACTCGAGCCGACGAAAAAGAAATGAAACATACGGGGTGTGGAGGGTGAGTTGAACAGGGGTTGTGCGCCAAGCCCTCCTGCTCGGCTCCAGCCGGTAGACAAGTCTTGTCATCAACAGAGTAGATGGATCTGACCTCGGGGCCGATGTGACCAAGCGCTGGTAGCGTGGTTTGACCTCTCACCCATGGTCTCACAGTGTGCCGGCAGTCGCCGAGCAGTGTCGCTCACACAAGCCGCAGCACAAGTGACTGAGGGCCAGTGAGGGCGAGCCCATCGCTGTCACAGCTGTGACAGCCGCACAGTAGGCTGTGTCAGCTGTGCAGAGTGTGTGAGCAGCAGAGGAGCTGCTCTCCAGGCTTCTGTCGCAAAGAGCTGCATGCCACCGAAAGCGCTGTCGAGGTTCGCCGAGCGCGGCGCAGGTTGGAGGAAGCCGTCACCGACGAGCGCGTTGGACTTTCACTCCGGACAAAGACGGGACACGCACACA